GACTGGTGTGTAGCCAGGTCGGTGTTGATAACAGCCTTACACCTCCCGGGCGAAGCCAACGTCGAGGCGGACGTCCTCAGCAGAACCAGGGCAACATCCCACGAGTGGAGGCTGAACCCCGACGTACTGGCGGAGATTTTCAGGGAATGGGGCCTCCCAGCCGCAGATCTCTTCGCGTCGCCGCAAAACGCTCAGCTTCCTCAGTTCGGTGCTCGACTTGCTCCGAACACGGTACCGGGGTGTCTCGGAGACGCGTTCCTGTTGGACTGGTCGAAGCATCTGCTCTACCTCTTCCCTTCCTTCCCGCTCATCCCGAGGGTGATCGAGAGGATCCAGTCGGCGCAAACAAACTGCATCTTGGTAGCGCCGGAATGGCCACGACAACTGTGGTTCTCAGTCCTTCTTCAGTTGTCCGAGGGGCGGATGAAGCGCCTTCCACTTCGGCAGGACCTGCTCTCTCGGGAAGACGGTCAGCTTCTCCACCCCGACCTCGCTTCTCTGCATCTTTCGGTGTGGAGGATCCGGTGTTGAGATCCCTGTGTCCAGGAGTTCTTCCGATCCTGGAGGCAGCTCACAAGCCAGCAACCAAAAAGTGTTACTCGGCGTGCCTTAGCCGCTTCCAGGCCTTCCTCTCCGAGAAGGGCCTAGACGACCATCGACCTTCGGTACCGGCAATTCTCTCGTTCTTGCTGCACCTTACCGAACGAGGCTTGTCGCTATCTTCGCTCAAGTCTCACTTGGCAGCCATATCGTGGCAGCTTCAACGGACAGGAGAAGCTTCCTTGTTTAAGGATAGCTCTGTGAGATCTTTTCTGCGAGGTTTCAACAACCTACACCCCCCGGTCCGTTCTCCGACTCCGGGTTGGGACCATGACCTCGTGCTGGCTCGGCTAGCGCAACCGCCTTTCGAGCCATTGTCTTCTATTGAACTTCGGTTGTTGTCATGGAAGGTGGCCTTCCTGGTCGCGATCACCTCAGCCCGTCGGCCGTCGGAGCTGGCGGCATTGCGGGTGGACGAACCCTATTTTGTTATCCACGAGGATAGAGCAGTTCTCCGCACAGATGTGACATTCCTCCCTAAGGTCGTGTCCCCCTTCCATGTTAATGAAGACATTGTCCTTCCCTCGTTGTGTCAGTCCCCCTCTACCCCGGGGGAAAGGAGACTTCATATGCTCGATGTGCGGAGAGCATTGCTGTGTTATAAGGACAGAACTGCTCAGTCTCGAAGGTCGCAGAGACTTTTTGTTGCGTATGCCCTCGATAAGGTGGGCCTGCCGATCACGGCGCAACGTTTGTCACACTGGATCACCTCGACCATCGAGCTTTGTTACCAACTAGCTCGACAACAACCCCCCTCGGTCGTCCGGGCTCGGTCGACCAGGGCTATGGCGGCATCGACAGCCTTTCTTAAAGGGATTCCCCTGGACGCTATTTGCAAAGCGGCCATTTGGAAGAATCCTCAGACATTTGTGTCACATTACAGACTGAATACCAGGCATACACCTGACATGGCCTTTGGGAGGGCAATTCTGGGCTCATGCCCGCCTTGAGCTTTGCAATTTTGATGTGTGTTTTATCGGTAACGAGTGTTTCCTCGATACCGTGTGTTGCTGTGAATGTTATTACCATGTTGTTACTTGCTTTGCCGGTGAATATAACCGCACCTTCACACTTGATGCCTTACTGCCTGAGGCGCAGGCAACCATTGCACTATGGCCTAATGGGCTCATCACGGGTATTCTGTGTCATTATCGATGGCTTTGCCTTGCTAATGTGTTGTGCACTTGTTAACAAACTGTAAAATGTAGAAGTTTCCGTTGGAGCCCGCGCAGGCGCAGTCTCTCCACAAGTGTGAATTCGCAGAGCACCACTCGAAGAAAGATGGTCACAGGTATGTAACCTACCATTAAAAGCACTCCCGACAGTTGGCAGCAGGAAAGAGAAAGACTACATTACAGGTGGGAAAACTCAATCAAGGAAGCCACAGCTTGGAGTTTGATTTACCTGAGCACAGTTTTTAATAACAAAATGATTTGAGGTCTTTCAATCACATGATCACCATAAGTCAAAGTCCGCTTGAAAGCAATTAGCAACATCTTGCTGATAACTTTTAGTTTACTTTCAGCAAAACTCAAAGAGTGACTCAAAGTGGCACCTGATTTAATGTTGATCATTTTTTTCTAATTGTTACATTGAGTGTCTGTCTGGACAATGTTCAGAAGTTATATGTCTGTTAGCATTGTCTAGTTTTATTTATTTTTTTTAGTTAAATGTCTATTGGGTATTAAGTTTATAGTAATGGCTGTTCTATTTTCTGTGTTGTGTCATGTTTTGATGTAATCTGTTATACTTTGCTTTGTTGCCATTGAATGTTTGTCATATGTGTCGGAAACCGCCCTGAGGCCCTCCAGGGAGATAGGGTGGTCGGTAAATAAAGCATTGTTATTATTATTATTATTATTATTATTATTATTATTATTATTTAGTAATGTAATGAAGCCACCCTAGATTTTATTCCAGACAGGAATTCTGTAGAGATGTGCATTTTTTTCATTTGTCCTCATAATTCAGATCAAATTAGTTAAATTCGTACTTACAAGGCAATATCCAATACATGGGCAGATATTGCCTTGTAAATTTAAGAATTGAAACTTACCCCATGCTTTTTGTTTAGTTTTGTAAATCTCAGAAAGCTCCCAAAGTCAGTTTCATATTTAGTGCAAGGAAGCAAAGCAAAGCCAAAAACGCAGCCTTTTCTCTGTAAATTAATGGAGTCTCGACATTAGGAGTGGGGAAAAGAGGGAGCACTATTTTCTGGGAACAGCACAGAACTCTGGGAAATGTAGTTTGGAAAAGGAGCTCTATGCCAGATAATTCAAAAAGGCCCTGCCCTAAACTACATTTCCCAGAATGCAGCAGCTCAGAAAGCACCAATCAGGATAGTGGAGAGAGAGATTTGTCCCTCCCTAACAACAGCCAGCCACAGCCTGTTCCAATAAATGTTGACTCTACAAAGAGGAGGACTGACTGAGAATTCTCTAGTAAGTAAGTAAATTTATGTGCTGGAAAAAAAAATCACTAAATTGATGGCCCTTGGGATGTCAGGAGAGTTTGGATCATGCCTTTCTGCCTGGAAAAAGGGGGTTGGACTAGATGGCCTTTGATGGTTTATGATATATTTTTATTTTTGTTCCTGGGTTAGAAATGTCAGTTCCTAATTGGTTCTATCATAGAAACGTGGGGAAAGTTTATTAAATTGCAAAAACTTTGTCTTTGTGGGAGGCAGGCCCGTAGCCAGGATTTCGTTTCGGGGGGGGGGGGGGGGG